TGGAAAAATGTCTGTTCATGTCTTCTACCCATTTTTAAATTCGATTGTTTTGAGCTGTTGAGTTTTATAAGTTCTTTAAATATGTTGGATATTAGCCCCTTATTGAATATGTCATTTGCAAAGATCTTCTCCCATTCTGAAGTTTGCCTTTCAGTTTTGTTGATTGTTTCCTTTGCTGTGCAGCTTTTTATTTTGATGTAGTCCCAAGAGTTTATTTTTGCTTTTGTTTCCCTTGCCTCAGGAGATATATCTAGAAAGAAGTTGCTATGACTAATGTCAAAGAAGTTATTGCCTGTGTTCTCTTCTAGGATTTTTATGGTTTCAGGTCTCATATTTAGGTTTTTAACCCATTTTGAATTTGTTTTTGTGTGTGGTGTAAGAAAGTGGTCCAGTTTCATTCTTTTGAATGTTGTCCAGTTTTCCCAACACCATTTGTTGAAGAGACTGTCTTTATCCCATTGGATATTCTTTGCTGCTTTGTCAAAAATTAATTGACCATATAGTTGTGGGTTTATATCAGGATTTTCTATTCTGTTCCATTGATCTATGTGTCTATTTTTGTGCCAGTTCCATATTGTTTTGATGACTAGAGCTTTGTAATACAACAGTTATTTTAAAACATCTTCACTCCCTTTGGTTATCTGACAACCTCCTCCCCCTCCACTCTTGGAAGATGGTCCTGCCTGTTTACTTCATAAAGAAAATAAAAGTCATCAGAGGAGAACCCCTTAACTTTCTTCCACCAAACTATAAACTTACTGGCATCTATTTACATGCATGGTTTCTTTCTATGACATTAGAAAAGGTATCCATCTAAGCCTAATCTCTCTCTCTGGATCCTGTTTTTTCCTCCCTTTTCAAGAAATCTTCTATGTTGATAATTCCCTCTATTTTCTATACTGCAGTCTCTCTTTATTGGTTCCTTCCCATCAGCATTTACATCTGCTCAAGTCTCTCCTATTTTATAAAATCCTGCGTTGTGCCCAAAACCCCATCCAACCTTTCTCCTCCCCTTCATGAACATTTAGTAATGCTCAACATTGAGGAATTTTCAAAATACAAGAAGGGGCTTAGGGCTTCAGTATTCAGAAGGGAGGGATGATATGTTAGATGGACAGGAGAAACCTTGGACTAAACGAAATATAAGGGTTATAGTAATTCATGTGACAAATATTTATTGAATGCCTACATTCTCACACCTCCTTGGCTTCATAGGGACTAGGAACTTTTGAAATCCTAGGTGAAATTTTTGAGTATGTATATTTTTCTAGTGAGACAGTCCACATATTTCATCAGAATTTCATAGAGTTCTATTGCTTATTGTTTATCATGGAAAGAATATACAAAATAAATAATTCCAAATTGTAGTCTCTGCTTTCAATATCTTTACAATCTATTTGGGAGATGAAGCAAGTATAAAGCCAACTAAGGCAGAATGTTGTAATCAATTAATGAGTAGTAAAGATGATAGATATCTTAGAATCTCAGTGAATGAATGTATGTCAGAATGATTAGGGAAGATTTTAGGAAAGAGATGGGACTCAACCTGGGTCTTTTAAACTGAGTAGAAAGTATCCAGGTAGATAGGGAGGGAGGCATTCCAAATAGATAAAATTATGCCAATAAGTTTTTGAAGGAAGGACAATCATAAGGTGTCCTGATAACAACACAGACTTAGTCTGCTTTTAACAACATGGTTGGTTCAAGAGATATTGAGGAGGCCAGGGTTAGAAGGTGTATTATCAGGAGAATGTGGAGGACCTTAAATTCCAAACTGAAGATCTTAGACTTTATCTTGCAGAAAATGACACACCCATTTTTTCTTCTAAAGGGGAGTGATGACAAATAGAAATAAAATTTTTAAAAGTTTTTGTAATTCGAGTGCTTGCCATGGATGTCCTGATGGTTCAGAAAATGATAACCTATTCAGAAATCTATCTTTTGCATTAATTTTAGGTTACTGCATGTCACTGTCAGCTCTTAACTGACAAGGGAAATGTGCTTATTATATATTACATAGATCACAATCTTCAGAGGCTTATAGTGTCAGTACACTTGCTGAACAGACTAATTACTGTGACTGAATGAAAATATTAACAATGTGTAATTAGTGCAGAAGATGGAACAGAGATGGGTTCCCACTTAACTAATGGCCACTGACTTTTACTTTGAGTGGAACCAAGTTCCAGGACTTAATTTCTCCTCTGAAACAAGTAGAAGTAATTAAGTGTATATGTGAAGTTCATAAATCAGAAGGCTAATGGTCTTTAGTAGAACAAGGATCATAGAAAATGAGGTAGGTTTAGGGTCTTATCCCTTAATGAATAAACCTGGGATGATAGGAAACCATTCTGGAGAGAAATTTGGGAGATAAACGGAAGGAACAATCAGAACCAGATCTGATTGGCTAGAAAGGCAAGATCTTTGAAGCTAGAACTAGGCTCTGATGATCACCATCAGTTAATTTTTCCTGCTTTCTCTTAGCTCAAGGTAGAAACTGGGGTGAGGCATTATTTGACTTGCTTTTAGAGTTTCAGTTGAACAAACTGAATGTAAGAATTAATTTTTTTCTGGTCCTAGGAATAACCTTGGTGATAGCTATTTCAACCTCATAGTTCAAAATACTAAACGAGGCCCAGAAAGCCTAAGTGATTTGCACAAGGATACACAGTTAGTAAAATGAAGGAACAGGTGAGGACTATTTCACTACTGTATGTATAGTGCCTTAGAATGCTTTGCACATAGCAAGAACTCAATAAAGAAATATTTGCTGAATGAATGAATGAATGAACTCCAGGCTTCTGATTCCTTGTAGCAGTCTTTCCACTGCACCATAGAAACTATGGCAGATTTAGTGAAGTGTCTTTGAGGAACCAGGATCTGCTTGTAAAATGTCAAAGGATAAATAAAAATCATCACATTATAATATAGATGTTTCCCTAGCAACATAACCTCACCTTACATGGTGTATTAGTGTGCTAGAGCTATCATAACAAAGTGCCACAGACTGGGTGGTTTAACCAACATAAATTTATTTTCTTACAGTTCTGGATGTTAGAAGTGTAAGATCAAGATGTTGGGATGGTTGGTTTCTTCTGAGGGCCATGAGAGAAGGATCTGTTCCGAGGATCTCTATCCTTGGCTTGTAGATGGTCATTTTCTTCCTGTATCTTCATATCATTTTTCCTCCCTCCATGTCTGTGTCCAAATTTCCTCCTCTTATAAGGACAACATTTGTATTGGATTAGTGCCTACCTAGTGACCTCATTTTAATTTAATTACTTATTTAAATACTGCATCTCCAAATATGGCTACATAATAATGTGCTGAGGTTAGAATTTCAACATATGAACCTGTAGAGAGGACATAATTCAGCCCATAACATGGAGACCAGCTTTTCCATCACAGATCATATGTATTAAACTCTCAATCCCATTCCCTAGTAGTAGCCAGTTGATGTTAATAGAGCTCCCAGTTTATAGTTAAGCAGCCAGTTGCCCAACAGCCTCAAGGTTCTGTCCATGCGTGTACATTATTCAGGTGGAACAGGAAGATTGGCTTGCCAGCCTGTTCTCTTGCCAGTCACTAAAAGAAGAGCCACAGGGCATGGACTGGCTGACATTTTTTTTTCTAACAACATGTTATTATAACTGTGATGAAACCATACTTTCTTCTTTGGAAATTGGCCCTTTTCTCATCTTGTAAAGTGCTACAAGAAGTCTGAAGGGCTTTGTTTTTGTTATAGTTGAACTGTAGCTTAGATGATGAGTGTATATTTCAGGAGTATCCTGGGGCTGATATTTATAAGGAGGCTCTGAAATGAGTGTCCATTGAGAGGATCCTGGGGAAAGCCCCTGCAGCTCTTCTAGGGTTTCTGTGAAGATTAAGTAAGGAAAAGCTTACACTTGCCTTAAAGAGAAAAATAGTTTTGCAGTTAGAAATCATTTGAAAGAGATGGAGTTCCAAGGTAGTATCAGGGGATTCCCAGGTTCTGTCTTTTGTGGGTATCTGCTATTTGTGTTAAAGTGAGAGAGAGGCTGGTGCTCCTTGCAGAAAATGTCACTTTACTCTATTGGAATGATTTTCAGGAGCTATAGGCTTCGCTTTATTGTCTCTACCATTGATCAAAATGTTAAGTGTCTGTAACTTAGAACATCTTCTCACCCATGACCCTCACAATTAGAAATGATCCTTTCCTGGATCAGGGCCTTCTTGGACTTATTCCTAGTTACTAAGATATGAATGCTGAATATAGACTTCAGCAGGTGGCAGAGGAGTGTTTGGATTATTAGATAACAATTTTATACTTTGGCCTGATTAGTATTAAGCATCTTTTTTTTTTTTTAAAGATTTTATTTATTTGACAGAGAGAGACACAGCGAGAGAGGGAACACAAGCAGGGAGAGTGGGAGCGGGAGAAGCAGGCTTCCCCCGGAGCAGGGAGCCCAATGCGGGGCTCGATCTCAGGACCCTGGGATCATGACCTGAGCCGAAGGCAGACCCTTAACAGCTGAGTCACCCAGGCGCCCCAGTATTAAGCATCTTCTGACTGTGTCACCTCATGGATTATGTTGCTTAAGTCAACAGGTCATCTGTAATTTCTGTAATATTGAGCTGAACTTTCAGGCCATTTTTTATTCTTGGCTTATCAGACACCAGATACCAAGAAGCTGCTGTATTCTCAGAAGGAAGAATTAACAAACACATTATACAAATAATTTTGTACAATGTCATGACTAGTGAGTCACTGCAAGGATAGAAAGCTGTGGGGTCAAGAATAAAAACGCTTGGAAAGAGAATTGTAGCTTGGAGATGGAAATAATGTAGGGTTCAACCTAACAGGGAAAAAGTGGTAGGGGAAAATAGGTTTTTTTTTTTCCTTTTTCATATTTAGACATAGACAATAGTAGCCAAATACCCTTATGTGGGAGCTTATATCAGTTACAGACCATTAGATTTTGAATTATGATTTGATGCATAATCAAAACAGACAAAAATAATTATTTGCCAAACATTTATTATTTTTTACACAGTCCAATCATTTCAACAAGAATGTCTCCAAAGTAGTATCAATAGGCCTCAAAGGATTGTGGGCTGATGAGTCTCACCTAAGGGCCTCTAGGAATTTGCCCTTCTGTTCACAAATTTTCCCTTTGCCTCCCCCAAAATGCTGTGATCTCTTATTGGCTCTAGAGCTAAATAGATGTTTACAGGATACTGAGCAGGTTTCCTCTCAGTTAAAATGAACAAAGGTAGTAATAGTCTCAAACTCATCAAAGACTGGGGGAAAAAGAACTGAGCACTACAGACTACAGTAGACAGTTTTAAAATTTGAACTCTGGAGTTGTTTGAGAAACATCTTGCTTTTGCTTCATGAGATTTTAAGTGCTTATGAAGTGTGAAAAAAAATCTAATTCAAATTCTAAGTCTTGAAGCTAAATAAAGATACTTCTTCCAGTTAGGGACTGATTTCAGAGGGAATTTTTCTGTAGAAGTCACTCCCCCTGTGCTATTCAAGGGCTGTAAAAATTCAGTCCCCTTGCAGAATCTGTGCTAATTACGCCACAAAAGCGAGTCTATTTGGAGGTAAATATTAATGTACTTTAGGCTCAAGAAGAAATGCCAACTGGAACATTAAAAATATCTGAACTCTCCAAAAGATGGATCAACCATTAAAAAAACAGACCCAGTTCTTTTGAATCTTAAATCATATTATTCTTGTTACTTTTGAAAGCAATAAATTAATGTTCCCCAAACAAAACTCCTTAAACAAATTAAATGATTTATATTTTTAAAAAATGCACACCACATCTGCACCAAAGAGCAAAGACACCCTGCAGTAATGAATTATTTCAGGAAGAATAAAAGGCAAGAGTACAAGGTACATGAAATGAGCGTAGTTTAAGGTTTTGAAAAAAAGGATTTTAGAACATCAGAGAGTTCTCCCACAACCAGAAACATTTGAGTCATTTGGTATCCAGTGTTTCTCGTTTTCCTTTGCTGGAAGCTTTGGCAGGTGTCCGGGTATTGGCAGCATCTCTTATGGGCGGTACTGAGATCTCTGCTCTTGGATGTACTCGTACAGAGGGCTGGAGCGCACCGGGACACTGGCAAACTGACGCTTGCTCGGCTCCAGAGCCTGCTGACTGCCCTTGTCTCCTTCCTCCCAGACACCGCGCCGCCTCTGCTCCTCCTCCTGCTGGCGGCGCAGCTGTTCTTCCCTTTCCTGCAGGAGCTGCTCCTCCTCGCGGAACTT